AAGCCTTGCATGGAGGACTGAGGGATTACTTGAACCATTGTCCCCTGCTCACCATTCACTATACCTGCAAACTACATTAACAGTCCATTTGTTTCCATCCATCCTTTGGCTGTGCAGGTGTGGGGAATCTATCCTGAATGAGAACACAGCTGGGTCAAAGAGACAAAGTACCCCCTGCTTGAACCAGTCTCAATTCAGATCAGCCTCACAGCAGCTTTTTGATTAAGGCAGAGAAGAAAGATTGCTTGCATGACTTTCAAACTAACAGGTAGTTTGACCATTCGCTTGTTCAACGTGCTAAGCAAATGGTTATTTGCTGATGTGGAAGAACCATATCTCTGCATCTTTTGGCTTGTTTTTCTTATGTTTTCATCCTATCGTTCATCTCAAAGAGCTCTCACTTCAACATCATAAAACAAAAAGAATTTTATCAAACAAGCAACCAAGAAAGCTTTCTGCCATTGGTTGGCCCGTGCACAAAATGGGGTTGAGTTGGGATGCAATCTCATCCTGAAATCAAGGGTGGGGGAGTGTCCCCCTTACCTGTGTCCCAACCTTGCCTGTTACTTTTACGATTTGAAGGTGCACATTTTGGGTGGCAGTTTGCTTTTTCTATGTAATAAATAGGACTACAGGTCCTGGAAGCAAGAGCCACCAGAGTTAACGGTCAGAGTTTCTGGGAAACATCATCCAAGGGCATCTGGACCCCCAGGTTTGAGAATCACTGTGCTAAACAAACCACAGACATTGACAGAGAATTCCTGGCTTGTTTATCAGCATCGGTTAGAAAAACCAAGCAGTCATGATCAAGAAGCATACTCTGAGCGTGCTTGTTCACTCCACAATAAACTAGAAAATCATTCTGGTCTATTGTACTGAACAGATAAGGACAAAGAAGGCATTTAATGTTAAAGAGTGTAGGTTTATGGTGACAGTGGTAATTTGAAAGCTACAAAGAGTAGGAATAAGTGCTTGAAAATAATCTTAAAGAATAGGAACCTAGTAATTTCTTGACGACTACATACTACTACTGCCATTACACAGAATATGCTGAAGGTTAAACATTAAAGGACATTTTGGCTAAATCTAGCATATCTGAAAAGAACACAGTGTACCCGAAATCTAAGCTGTAGTATAAAAATCAACCTTGACCATAATCTCACAGATGTGGTCATGTATTGCCACCTTGAGGACACTTCGACATTCTACAGTTCAAAAGCTGAAAGAGTTATAATGCAACCATATGCTACCAAATGCTGCATGATTAAAAATAAATGCCAAGCTAACACTGCATTTTCTCTTTGTTATTTTGCAACAAGGCTTTTTCTTTCTAGCTTGTAATGACCTTTTTTTCCAGAGACGCAAAATCCCTTTATGCTGAATAAACTGCTTAATAACTTGCATACTCCCAATGTCAGTGAGGAAGGGAAATTAAAATAATTTCGGAGGCAGAAGCTTTAAAGCTCAAAGCTATCCTCTATAATAGGGCAATTTGAGATTCTGCCTGAAGTCTGGTAGTGAATCACAACTAGAATAGCCATTGAATCAATGGAACTTACAAAGGAGTTGACTCATCAAATCCTCACTCATTCAATGGACCTACTCTAGTTTTGACTTACTACTGGATCTTAGCCATTAACTCTCAATGACTAAAACTCCTGTGTGGTTATGCAAGAAGTGTAATGTTTAAAGACAAACTGCTGTTAACTTATGAAATCTAAATATTCTCTGTTGCACACAGAGTAATATGACTTGACTTGCAAGACAATTCTATCAAGATTTCTTAATGACAATTCCCTTTAAAAGTGATGCCTTTTACATAACTGCATAACAGGATTTCAGCCAATAAACAAAGAGCCTCCCAAAAATGGGATGGCAAAGACTGTTTTGGACACTCCAGTTTACTGACCTTAACCCACTGGGCATGTTGAGCCAGCTGTCCCAGATCCTTATTTAGCATGGCAGCACAAGATGTGGGTTTTGAGAAGCTTGTATGGAAAATCCTGTGATGGAGATTCTGTAGCCTGTCTTGGGTGTGCTACTCTTCTTGACACACAAAAGCACAGTACATTCAATGTGGTTTGTTTACAGTGATAGTCAGAGGAGGCCCTTCTCTCGCATATTGCATATGTATGCAATTCCTACAAATACTAGGGGTGGGTGGGATGTCATAATATATTTGACCGTAGAACAGCTGTAATCATTCTGGTATTGCTGCCCATGTTAATTTTTATCATATGTTAATCTGATTAATGCATTATGTCACCAAACAAATTTACAAAATGTTGGACAGTGTTCTACTCTACTTCCATTGAATGGATAGTGTTGCCAGCAATGCTTGCGCAAGTGAGGTAACAACACAGTTCTTTGTTGGTGTGACTTTCTGCTCAACCAAAATCTCAGTAGGACATTGGTCAAATCATTTCTTACATAAAATAATGTTTGGGAAAACTGGATATGTCTTTCAGTTGCTTTATCAACTGGGCAATGAGAAGAATCTCCTCATCACACAAGGAGGAGAGAGTTTAACCCCGTTATCCCACAGAAAGGTAGTGATTGAATGCATGTGAAAAGGAGAAACATCTCCAGTTGTTAGAAGTATGAGTCCTTCATGAACCAACATGTTTTTTTTATGGGGGGGGGGAAGTCCTTCAGAGGGAGATGTTGCTCACAGCTGGCAGCAGGCAGGTGGCATATGGTACAAGCTCAAAGCAAGAATCTCACCCACAAGGACTTCTGCTAAGCAAGTGGGATACTGGCCTTGGTCATGCTCACTGATGACCCAGACAATATATTAAAAACAGAAACTTGCATTTCTCATTTTCACCTGCTTCACACCTCAGAACACAGATGCCTCAGGAGACTGTTTTATTATATAAACATTTCATGTACCTCTTCAAACAAAACAACTAGATTCTGAAGGTCTAAGATAGAGCATGCAATGTTTATGATTATGAAACGGAGACATGGCTTTAAAAAAGGTTGAGAAACATTGCACTGGAAGTGCAGGATAACAGGAGAAACGTCCTCAAGTGTATCAATGAAACAATAACCTCAAGAAAAGATTGTTCATTCCCACACAGTGAGGCATCACCGCTCCAAACACAAAATTGGTTTTTAAAATAACTTTTTGAAACACAGAAAATTCAGTTGGGACTACAACTCTGAAATAAAGCAGAGCTACACACACATTTATGAACAATACAGATACAAAAAAAAAAATTCTGGCACAGCAATATCTGTGAAGGACGAAAACTATAAACATGTGTGATATTCACCTTAAAGCAGCTGAAAAGTGCACTGTACTGTTATGGAAGGCATAAAACTTGCCAGTGGGGCTTTAGCTAAGAAAATATTGGTTCTTTGCCATTGCAGAGAGAAAAAACACTAGTTTAAACAGATTGAAAGACAATTTGGACATGGCCTGTGGAAATGGATTCCATATATGCAAGAACAGAGAAGGGGTCTTTCTCTTTCCTGCATGTGTTTATTGTTTATCTAGCTGCTACAGTTGCACCCCAACTTTTTTCTCCATACAACTCAAGGTAGTGAGTTTTATGGAGACCATACTATAAACTGAACATGGTTCCCAGGGAGCCTCCCATCTAGGCACTGACCAAACCCAGTAATGTTAGTAAGGTTCCTTTCTGCAGTCCATGGTCCTGGAAACGTTCATGTGAATCAACCATATGGCACAGTGGCAGCCAGGTAACTAGTTCTTCTCTACCCATTTCTCATGAAGTTATGTCCCATTTTCAAAGTATACAGTACATGGAATCATAGAATAATTGAGTTGGAAGGGGCCTATAAGGCCATCGAGTCCAACCTCCTGCTCAATGCAGGAATCCAAATCAAAGTAGATCTGACAGATGGTTGTCGAATTTCCTCTTGAATGCCTCCAACGCTGAAGCACTCACCATCTCCTGAGGTAATTATTCCATTGCTATTTTGCTCTAAGAGTTAGGTACTTTTTCCTGATACTCAGCCAAAATTTGTCTTCTTGTAGCTTGAGCCCACTATTATGTGTCCTGCACTCTGGGATGATTGAGAACAGATCCTGCCCCTTGTCTGTAGGACTACCTTTCAAGTATTCGAAAAGTGCTATCAGATTCCCCTCTGTCTTCTTTACTCAAGGCTAAATATGCCCAGTTTTTCCTCATAGGGTTTGGTTTCCAGTTTCCTGATCATCGTTGTTGCCCTCCTGTTGTATACAATGCAATATACATGCAATGGCAATTCAATTTACATTAAAAGGTATGGTGTGTACATACAATATTTACCCATGCACTACCAGAGTTTGAAAAGTTTGTTTTATCAGACTACAGCTCATATAATACATCAGACAGCATAGCCACTAGTCAAACTTCAAGATTCTGAGAAGTGTAGTTCAAAAACTGAATTTTCCTAGTTCTGTGTCCTGAACCAGACATTACCTGCTTGTGTGTGTGTTACATGCTGTCTAGTCAGAACTGACTTATAGGGACCTGAATAGAGTTCTTAAAGTCAGTGAGATATTTAAGGAGTAGCTTTACCATTTGCACTCCCACTCCCAGTGAGTCTCCATGGCTAAGTGGGGATTTGAACATCTCTTCAGTTTTAATCTGACAGCTACATTGACTGCACTATGATGGGTCCCTGGCTACTAAATATTGAATGTGCTGCTTGTGGTGCAAAAATAAAATAAAATATTTGTAGAATAAGACAGCATTTGACAATGATTTTTTAAAAATTAACTCTTGTTTGCAATTTTGATTTTACTCACTGTAGAACAAGATGTGTAGCTAGTTTTTTTATTTACCCTGCTATAACTTGGAAGGATAATTTTTCTTATTTTCCATAAAAGTGCCTTACTTTTATAGCCTTTTTTAAACACAAAAGTGAAGTAAGGCAACTGAGAAAAACAAGAACTCAAAAAAATGATTTTATTTGTTTATTTCTTTTCCTTTAAAATCTTTTGTTTTTCTAGACAAATAAATAAAACCCGAAACTGGAAAATTTACCTGGCTGATTGGAAGACTGCCAACCTGATGTTTTTACAGCATACTGAGGTCCTGTTGGCTTGATGGCCGGTACAGATGTTGCATTGGCAGAAACTAGTTTATCTGCTCCATTTTCTGGGTTTTCAGGCACACTCCTTAATGAGGCAGCAGTATACTGAGCTGGCTCCAGGGGATCGCTATGTGGAGACAGAATATTACCTTTCAGTTTACAGTGATCGTCCAACAAGACTCAGTGAGGTTAAATGAAAATATTATTTTATGTAAACACTAAGGTTAATTGGTTAATGAAATTATTGAAGCTTTCTGAAACAGGTCTCATTGCTATTGCTCTCATTCAGTCATTCAGTCAGCACGCCATTTTGCAAACCTTGCTGGCAGATTCATTTATGAGGATCAACTGGATATATTACAGCACGCCTACACACTTACTAAGCTGAGATGCCTAGTAAAGTCTCAAGTTAAAGTATGTAATGCAAAATAATCCTCATAATAATAAACAGTGGGGACAAGAATAAACAAAAGGATCACATACTGTACATCGTGGAAATGTTAGATTTGTCTTTTCACAAAGATTTGAACTGCCTCAGATTGGAGGAAGGATATTCAGAGGCAGGCAGTAGAACTGAGGTAGATTCAGATATTCAGAGGCGTGTAGTAGAACTGAGGTAGATTCAGATATCCAGAGGCGGGCTGAGGTAGATTCAGATATTCAGAGGCGGGCAGTAGAACTGAGGTAGATTCAGATATTCAGAGGCGTGTAGTAGAACTGAGGAAGCTTCAGATATCCAGAGGCGGGCTGAGGTAGATTCAGATATTCAGAGGCGGGCAGTAGAACTGAGGTAGATTCAGATATTCAGAGGCGGGCAGTAGAACTGAGGTAGATTCAGGCTCCAAAGTTACCAGTTTTGCAGAACCCATTCTGTTCACCACTCATTTAGATGGTAATGTATATTACTCAAGAAAACAAGTCAGCCCCCATTGTATTTGAAAGCCTTATTTGACTGTATAGGACCTCAGGCATCTGCTTTCAAATCCTGCTCCATGAACACCACCCAAAGGTCAGGCTAAGTCCAAAGGCTGTTGGGTGGAACTCTCAGCAATCCTAGGCAGAGTAGCCAATGCTGAGGAATGCTGAGGGTTGCCGTCCATTGTCCTCTAAAGAAACAGTGACAAATAGTATACCACTCACCCCTGGGGAAACATAATAAGGAAATATGCATGGAACTCCCTTCTGCACTAGCAGTAAGAGAGCTGAAACTCTGGCAAATGTTGTATGGAACATAGCCTTTTGGATGATCTCCTTTTTCAAAATTTACAGTACTAGTCCTCCTCCTTCTGGAGAGCAGTCAAGGTGCAGGCCTTTCTGTCTTTCACAAACAATGGATAATTTCTTGTTTGTTTTGTTTTCACAGGTGAGAATTAAACATTTCACATTTTCTCCCTGCTGTGTGAAATCAGAGGCGCTTTTATGCATTCTTTCTGTAGGACATGGCTTTTCATGAAAATGGCCTTGGCACATAAAGCTTGTACTGCACATGAAATACAAGGGTCATGTGCAGCATACACTTTTTTTGTTACAAAATATACTTTAAATATATACTTCATTGACCAGATGACATATAAAAAAATGTACAAAGGAAGATGAGGCTATATGATGATCTCCAATCACTGCACTGCAATATAAATTGTAACAACAGTAGGGAATCAACTTTATACAATTAATAGTTTATTAGCATCCTTGGCCTAGTATATAAAAGAACGTTTTAAAACAGTGTGCCCTTCTGGGTAGTTTTAATCTTCTGCTCTCCTCCTTCATCAAAATAGCCTGGAAAGGCTTCTTAATATAACCTACACTTGAATTGCATATGAAATAATCTTTCAGAATCTCCAGAACCAGAGGGACACAGTATTGCGGCATTGGAGTTTCCCTTATATATCATCCTTTCAGCAACTAGGGCTACATCACCTTAAACCTTGCGAGTACAAAGGTTGTATGGTACTTCAGGATAGGTAGACACTCTGTAAAGGATGGCATTCAGTGACTGGCTCTAGCTAGTGAATGCTCCCTATGGAGACACTGATTTAACACCTTTTTTGTGCTTTACAATGAGAGCAAATGATTTTGAAGAGGCTGGTCACCTTTTTTCATCAAGGATGAGAAACTCTGTGAAAATATCTGTTACATCCTAACTTAGGATTCAGGTGGAGCTCCACCATTTACCTACCAGAAACATAGAAAATATTCTCAGATGCTGTTAAGTTTTCAAAAATATACAGCATGTGCACTTTCAAAAGAATTCAAAATCCAAGTGAGTTCTACTATATTAGTTGATGTTTTCAAAACAACATTATGAATATCAGGGCTTGAAGTGTAGTGCTTTGATAACACTGATAGGAACACAAAAACTGGGCAGTTCAGTCTCACCTAGAATCCCAAAACCTGACCAAGTGTACCTTCCTCCTTCCTTGGTCCAAATATCTTCCAATAAACTCTTATTTCTCCGGTCTACAAAACACTTCTCTCACCAATATTCCAAATATGAAGGAAATCATTCCAGGACATGAACCCCTGTCATGACATCATGTTAAGCTGTCAATGTTAAATACAGTGATGCCAGAAAATATCTCAACGTGGCGTTTTTAAAACCAGTGTGGTCTATTTTGTTCATCTGTATTCTTGAACGTTGTTCTTAGACTTTGCTTTATAAAATATCCATGACTACAAATCATATTATTAGAATAATACAAGCTTCTTGTGAAGCTTGAATATAATCCTCTTTTACATTACTGCTGAAAAAAATACTCATGATTTTCTACTCCTTGTATAGGCTTGTAAATGTCCTGGACCCTAAACAACACACAGAAGGAAAATATGTAGATGTGTTGAAACAATGCCTGCTACAAGTGTGAATGGGAATCACATAACATTCTGCTCTTTTCCTAGAAAAACAAAACACAACAATTCTGGATGTCCATGATCATCCAAGTTAGCAGAGCCGCACCTTCATGGTAGCTTAATTGTTTTTATGATGATTAGATAGCACCTTGAGTGGTAACTAGCAGTGGAAAAAGCAGAACAGAAATGTAATTAACTTTAATAGTAACAGCAATAGTTAAGAGCCAGCATGCTTTGTTTGCAACACACTACAGATCCCATTCCTCAGATGTACAAGGTACTGTACATGTGTATAAAATGATTCATTGTAAGTGTGCAAAGAACTGTGGGCCATTTTATGAGGACAGAACCTGAACCCTAGTAAAAATGGGATTCACATGGAACTTTCCATTTACAGCCTAAGTCTCTGTCCACTGAGCTTAACATAAGACTCTCTGTCACCCTGGACTTCTTTTTAGAAGGTTCATTTGACTAAATCAGAAAACATTTTTGCTCCCCCTGTGCTTCCTTCCAGCAGTGATCGTTACATCTTTTTCAAGTAATAATTGGCAATTTTGTCAGTGCAACATATTGGCCCAAAAGTGCTAATTTTCATAGCAGGCAGCTTGCCAACATAATGTCATCTATTAGTCAGAGGGTGCTGAATGGGATAGTGTACTTAGGGAAGAAAATCCCACATTCGTATGGAGAAACACTCACACAGGAGTTGCTCATCTGTCATGTTCATTTTTAATATACTGAGGAAAGTGAAACCCTCAAGCATCTGCTTATGTTCCTCAAGAGGTCTCTACCACTCTTTTCCCAAAAAGCTGGAAAACAGCATCAAATGCTACCTTCTTCTTCTTCTTTATTTGGGATCTCCTGGTGCAAGACAGAATTTCTATTTTCTTAGCTATTACTCAGTAAGGGACTAGGTTTAAGAAGTCACATCTAGGCATAATAGTAAGCAATGAGAATCGTAAAACTTTTGATCAAAGTTCAACTATGATCAGTTAGGCAGGGAGGAGGGAGGCTGACATGGTGTGATCACACAATTCCTTTTATCCCTCCCACTCCTCAGTTACCCAAAATCACTTTGGCACAATGATTTCTCTGTTAACATTAATTGTGTTCTCCCTCCCATCCACCAGACCAGTGTTTTGCTTTCCCCTGCTACCTAAAGGCCAGCCTGGATAAAATGGGAAAGCCATGTTTGTTAGTCATGTGTTTGCCCAATTCGTGCAAAAAGCAAAACCAAGGAAATCTATGGACGCATGGGAGTGAGAGGAGCAGAATTCTCCAACCCCTGAGCAACTGCTGCCACAGGTACTTCGCTCAGCTCAGCTTCTTTCTAATACTGAAGATAGATTGGGAAAAGAAAAATATCTGATGAAATGCTCTTTCAAGACAGTGAAGGAGAAGGGATTCAGCTCCGCACACACCAACATTTTATCAAACTAAAAAAATGGACATTCTGGCCTTCTGCAATATGGAGGCACAACTTAATTGGTTTATCAAAGGGTGACACGTTTTTTCTCTCCCTAAAGGTGTAATTAGTAGCAATACAATTCAGGGATACCATCAACATCTTCCTTCCACCTGATGTTTCCAGCAACTCAGAATGTACCTTTCTTCTGTCTGCATAGTTCTGACATGGATCTTGTTCCTTGGCCATGTGTAAAATGTGATGGAAGAAGGTCTTGGACTGAACAACTGAACTGTCCTCAATCTGAAGGTCAAGAGACCCCGATGATTACCACTGATCCTTCTAAGCCCACCTCCCTGTGATATCAGATTCCTCCTAACCTCTCCCTCATTTGCCACTAAAGGCTTCTTTAAGGCTCTGCTTCCCTTCACTCTCATTCTATCAGGTTTGCTGAAAGAGGTATTGGGGGAGGGTCACCAACCATCAAAGTAAGGGGCTGAATTGCTTGCAGGAGTTGGCAGTTGTTGCTGCTCACTCACTCACTAGCTTGCCCACCCATGAGAGTGCAGAAAAGGCAATATCATCCTCCACCACCATAGCAGGCAACTAGATATCATTGAGAAGGACAATATGATAGAGCTCTAAACAACAAACAGCAAGTATAGGAAAATGGAACCCACCCCAGACCAAAGCAGTAAAGGATTGTCGTCGCCCCCCCCCCCCATTTCAATTCACAGTAAGGGAGCCACACTGATAATTTTCCTGAAATCTGATAACTGATTTCTCTAACTTCTGAGACTGCATATAATGGCCATTTTACTAGCCACCTTTAAGATTCAAAAACCTCATTCAGGTCCTCTGAGATCAAATCAGGCTCACTAACTGTACTAATGTTGCTGTGAAATAGACAGAAGATGGCATTAATGAAATTTAGCACAAACTACAGTGACTAATAAAGAATTAGAGCAATACAGCTACTTAAGAAACAATTAATGAGATATACTAGAGTTGAGCTATGCAAAGGAGTTATCTAATGCAACACATGTCTTGCATTTCCCCCAGACACTATTAATTCTGTAAGGGAGATCTGCAAAACTAAAAATACAGATAAGTCACATGCACCTTCACTCAGAAGTTAATCCCGCTGAGTTCACTGGGACCTGAACTCAAGGAAATGCACATAAGAACGCCACTTTAGCTACATGCCAGGAATTAATCTCTAGGACTTGTAATAAAAATTAAAATAATTTGCAATGTTTAAAACATCTACTTCTAAAAACCTATGTTTTTAAAACAACTCTATTTTATAACAATAGTAAAAATCTGCTCAATGTGTAATTTCTGGAATGTTAAACAAAAAAGAGTAACAGGTGTAAATATAAAGCTATCATTTCATAATGGTTACCTTACAGACATAAGACCAATATTTAGGGGGAAAATGCCTTTGTTGTGGCAACATAAAGAATGCTTAGTTCCAGGTCACATAAGACACAGAGGGAAATATTTTACACAAGAAATTCTTACTTTGCTGTCTTTAATTCTACTCTGGTTTTGTTTTTAAAAAACCTTCCACTGTAAAATTACAAAGAAAAATGTTTATGTTGCTAAAGGTAACAGTCTTCCAGTGGTTCATGAGGAAAAAGGAAATGCCAAGCTTACAAAATGGAAGGTGATGACAACAAGTAGAAACATATTTTCTAATACTTCTTTTGTCTCAGATATCTTAAAAGGCCACCCAAAAAGTGCTGATATCAACCTCAAGTGCTACTTTTCTGCCTCAAAATGAACAGAGACCCAAATTCTAAACTGTCTCATGTGGTTTCTATAGAAACTTCAAAGAGCCAATGTTCATGCTAATAGTTTTGGTCTAAAGACTAAATTGTTCAAAGTCTGTCTTTACTGTGCCTCTGTTGGCTTGGTGACATTTCTAACCATGACTACTTGATCTGATTTTAGTCTTATTTTCTGGGGTTAACATTGTGCTGTTAATGCCGGTTCATTTGGTACTTTTGCTGCCAGTTTCTATGTGTACTGTACAATGTTACAGGCCTCTATCCATAGTTCTTCAGCTCCAGGTCTTGTTTTTGCGGACTGTATAGAGCTTCTCCATCTTTGGCTGCAGAGAATATAATCAATCTGATTACGGTATTGCCCATCTGGTGATTTCCACGTGTAGAGTCGCCTCTTGTGTTGTTGGAAAAGAGTGTTTGTGATGACCAGCTTGTTCTCTTGACAAAACTCTATTAGTTTTTGTCCTGCTTCGTTTTGAAACCTCACTAAATTTGCTCCTGCACTTTCGAACACATCGTATAATGTCAAAGGCACACCTTTTTTGTTGGCTGAATGATTGCAGGAATTTATTGCATTGGTCAGACGTGTGGAAGCACATTAGGAGTGTGTGCAGTTACATCAATGCAAATATATTACTGTGTCTATTACTCCCATTTAAAATATAGATTACAAAAGTTAACAGCTTTTGACTGACCAAGTTGCTAAAATACGAAAGGACATTCTAGTGAAGTTCCTCCCCCCCAATATGCCTACAATTTTCTGAAAAAGCTCAGTCTGCCAACCTTTTCTGCACCTCACATATGGTAGTACTTTAACATATTACAAAATTGGTCTAGAACTGGCATAATAATGCAGAGACCTGATGAGCAGCAAGGACAAAGTTTCAGAAAGTACAAAAAAATAGTCACGATAAAGGCACAATCACCTGGCAACAGAACAGGCACGCACAGGTTAAGACACTTGTGGGACAACATAAAAACTCTCTTATAAAGCAACCGTAGGATCTTCCAGATTTTGCTGACCAGTGAGGCACTTGAAGTGTGAAATGGCCCATGTATGCTGTGCTAGAGGAAACGACTTTGCTAGACACAATAAATGAGGTAGCAGCATCTAAATCATCAAAACACAGACGTCTGGTTTGTAGGTTAAATAAAGATTCCAAGGAAAGTTGGGTCTAATATTACCATAGTTGTGGTCAGGATGTATGACACAGAACAAAACGTCCCACCCCAGCAGGAAACATGAAGCACTTTATAGAGTAGCTGGCAGATGTGTGTAAAAATCATTTGCTGCCCCATTTACCAATAGTAACAGTCTCACGCTACTAAGTCAGTGAATATCTCAAAAAAAAACTAGAAACTCTCAGTTCCAATAATACACCTCTGGAACAACTTGTAGTTTTCCTCACTGATGGAAATGTTGCTAGTACTTCATTCAAAACTACTGATTCCACTCTAGTAATATTTTCCCAAACTGGAATTCACTGAAAGGTCACAAATCTTTAATTCCAGAGCTGTAACAGGGGTGGGGTGACAGAGGTTTTGCCTCAGGGTGCCAAAATTTAGAGGGCACAAACATTTGCTCCTGGAACATTTGCTCCCACTCAAAGCGTGTGCGCACAGACACACAGACACACACCCTCTCTTTCCTTGGTAGAAAGAAACACAAAAGCGACAGGTTCAGGTGTTTCTTTCCATATTTCTCCCCATATATGCCAGTCTCATGTGACCAAGTTTAAGCAACAGCAGAGTAAAGCCCCAGACGCTGGAAGTGCTTTTTACAGCTCTGGTTCATGCTTGTATACTAGAAAGAGGACATTTTATTTTTCCAGAGTCACATTTTGTTCTAGGATTTGTGTAGAGTTTGGTGTATAATGTATTATTCTACAACGTTTTCACATGAAAACATCTCAGATTTCAGCTGCCGTGTACATTTTTGTTTTCTTTTTATTGACAAAAGTGGCTGGGACTAAAATTGTCCCAACAAATCTATTCAGTCAGTCAGTAAACAGGGTACTTTTCTATTCCAGTCAATGTAACGTACCTAAACGTTTACTGGCCATTTTTTATGAGCCATAATGCCAAGAAATAGAAGTAACAAATTCTGGTTGTTCAGAGGTTAAGCCTGTGTGAGAGGAATGACACTAAATTTCTTGTTGGTTTCAAGAAATATGTGATATCTATGTCAAAACCAGTCTTTAACTCAACCCTTTCCCTGCTGATCACTCTCAGTGCACTGGAATGCCAACAGGGTCAAAATTACTCTTTGCAGGGCCCACTAAGCATGAGATTTAAATAAAACCAAAAGGCTGTATCCTATGAACTAGTCCATAAAATCAAAACAAGTTAGGAAGGCCCTCAGTTTGCATTATTTTAAATTAATGTAATTTGCACACTGTGATGCTACAAATAATACTAGCTAATTTTACAATGTTGTTCTATTCAAAAGTTTAGAATGGTGAACAGGAAACAGTTCTCCTTTGCTCCAACAGTTCCCTCCCTCCATTCTATTTGGCTGACAGAGCTATAATGTTAGTAGTGGCTGCGAGCTTCTACCACAAACGAAGCACTAAAAGATATCTCTCCCATCCCCCCTCCCAACAATTAGCTATAAGAAAACCTGTACTATGAAAACACAACAGCTACAGGCGATTTAATTCCAGACAGCCCATCAGGTTAGAAGGCAAAATCAAGGGACAAGTAAATGGTGTGCTCAAACCAAACCAAACCAATGCAAGTGTTGTGCATGAGCTACTTCTATCGAATTCTTACTATTGCCAGTTCCTTTCCATTTCCAAAGGACTTGCTGATTTCCTTGATGGTCTACTTTCCGGAGGAGGTGGCTTAATAATAGGAGTAATGAGAAGGGCATCCAGGAGAGAACGGTAGGTGCTAGGATCAGAGAGTCTAGTGAACATTTAAAAAGAATATGTTAAGGATACAAGAAAAACCCTCTATGCTAGTGACGCTGCACATATCTTGACAGGGTAGTCAAGGTCAATGCAATGTCCTCAGTTTGATTCAGAAATGGAATGCTAACTGTCTAGCACTTTACAGAGAACTCTGTAGAAAAGAAAATCCTCTCCTACTCCCAGACCCTTAGCTACATTCATTTCTTGAGAGATCTGATCTGGCCACTGTGATACACACCCTAGTTACTTCCTGGCTGGATTACTGTAATGCATACTGTGTGGGGCTGGCAACTGAAAGTGTCAGGAAACTTCAACGGGTCCAAAATGCAGCAGCTAGATTGCTGACTGGGGCTGGTTACAGGGATCACATAACCTCCCTGTTAGAGCAGCTCCACTGGCTGCCTATCAGTTACTGGGCACAATTTAAAGCGCTGGTTTTAACCTGTAAAGCCCCAAATGGCCTGGGTCCAAGCTATCTCAAAGACCATATCTCCCATTATGAACTTGCTCAGGTGTTAAGATCATCAAGGGACACCTTTTTCTGTGTCACCACATTCACAGATGTATCTGATGGGGACACAGCAGACAACCTTCTTTGTTGCTTCTCCCAGATTTTAGAACTCCCTCCCACAGAAGACTAGGCTCCCCCCCCCCTTTGTTGTCATTCCGCAAGTAAGAAGCTTGCCCTTCAGGCAAGCTTTCATTAGAACTCCCTCCCACAGAAGACTAGGCTGCCCCCCCTCTTTGTTGTCATTCCGCAAGCAAGAGAAAACCTTTCCCTTCAGGCAAGCTTTCTCTCAGTAACCAGCTACCTGTCTGTGACTTTTAGACAGACTACTATTCATTACTGATTTGACTGAATTTTTGGCACTACTTGTGTTTTCCATTTCTCAGAGTGGCATTTTTAAAAAAATTTGTATACTCATTGATCTTTGCCTCAATATTGCCTAAGAATGATGTAAGATGGGTCTTTATTCATTGTTCGTAGTTTTAAATATTGTCTTTTAATGATGTTAACCACTGCTGTCTACTCATTGTTTTTCCAACTTTAAATATTCATTTTCATTGCTGTAAGCCACCTTGGGTCCTTTTTCAAGGAGAAAGGCAGGGTAAAAATATTTTAAATAAATAAACAAACAAAGAAGTATTTCAAAGGTATTTGTAACATTGAGGTTATCATTATAAATAAATAAATAAGTAAATATTTCAAAATTATTTGTAACACTGAGGTCATCATTAAATGATGTTCCTATGCATCTAAACCAAACCTTGGAAGGCTTTTAGATTCCAGTTGCTTTTTATTAAAGATTCTCAAACCTTTCTTGATGAAGAGTGTTTTAAAAGATGAATCAAAAAGCTTCCAAGACTTTGGTTCACTAAAGACTTTTTAATGAAGTTCTCTTTTTTCCACGAAATTCAAAGGTATCTGAACAGTCCGTCCCAAGTCTCTACCTGTACCGCAGAGACACGGCAGCAGACACAGCAGCAGCAGCTTGTGACGATGCCACCCTTGGAAGTGAAGTTGAAGGAATGGGGAGAAGTGTTAGACCACTTCCTAATGGATTTTCCAGTGACAATTGCCTAGTTTGTTTCATCCAAATGAATTCCAAGAAAGGACAGACAAAGAGAAAGTTAGACAAGCAAAATACTTTACAGAAACAATTTCAAAGATATCGTGAAAAACCATTAGGTGCAAGCTAGCACATGACCTCGCTGTGAAAGCCTATTCTTTAATAGGGGGAAAAATATCCCACTCTTTAGAATTTGACTGTATCAATCAATACCAGGTTCCAGGTTGGAATCTTGTGTTCTGACTTCAGACAGCAATGTCATACCTGCTTGTAGATTTCTGGCTTCTGCAGGAACTAGGAAACTGGACAAATAAAGGTTTAAGTCTCTGCTTAGAGAGGAATCATTTTCTGACAGTCATTTATTCAGATTAGACACTTCTATTTGTTCTTGGCTTCTTGTAATGACTTATAATCAATTGCTTGTTCTGGCGAGGTATGTGATATTGCAAGGAAAACTCAGAGAAGTCAGCTTTGTAAAAAATTTTGTCCTGATATATATTGGTCAAAAATGTTCTCTGTGATTCTCTAGCTTAATTTGGCTTTTCTCTTACTTTCTTTATGGATTTTCGAAAAAGCAATACACATACACATCCTTCACATGTGGCTTGTGTGAATTTCATGGTACTAAGTCCAGCACCTGCTGCTTGGTTATCTATTACAGGAATTGGCTTCTAGCCTGTGACTCTGAGGGAGAAAGAGTTTGGCTTTGTAAGTCTGAGCTGGACAGAAAGACTGGTGCCAGTTTATCTGAAAGGGTTATTGTTGAACTTATACAGTAGAGCCACCGTTGAGGTTCAAGCACCCTTGGGACTTTTTCCTTGACTGGATTAGAAGAAATGAGTATATGATGCAAAACTCTCAAATTCTTAGGTATTTTAATGCAAAAATAGGTCCTGTTCTTTCAAAACTCCAAGGTACACCATTATATTCCAGATGCAAATATGCTGGGCTACGGAATAGACAGACAGACCTATACCAATATCATCAGCATGCTCACTCTTCACTCTGTATCCATGAAGTTACAACGGCCACAGTAACTGTTCTCTTTACCCCAGCCACCACTAAGGTGATGTCTGAATGGGTAGGCAACCTGTAGCTTTAAAGTGCATGAGGTCCTTGGTTTACATTCAAATGAACTCTGCAAGGTTTCTGTTCAGACCTGAGCTTTAAAAGGTATCAATTTTTAAAACTACAACAGTCATGTCTTAATAAAGCTGGGATCTGAGTACCTGCCAGTAAGTGGAGCCACCGATGCAGAAGTCACAGACTGGACAGTCAAACTGCCTTCCCCCGGAGCAACTGGAAACACAAGTGGCTCACTGGTTTGAGTTGCCACTGTACTTATCATGGGAAAGTTCCTTTTATTACCATCTTCATTTAATCCCAACTTTGCAGCATTTGTGGTGTTTAGCTCTGGAGAACCAGTTATTATCCTACTTGACCTTAATTCAATAAGAAATCAAATATTGTAAGAGTGAAAATCATATCTGATTTTACAGCATTGTTGGAGGTCTTTATTGTTTACATAAACTATACCTAATCAAAGGCTTATAGTACGGCGTGTGGTATTTAAGATTCCCAATGATCCTAATTTTCCCCTTTTCCTTGGGATACTGAAGGAAAGCAACTTTAAATGAAAATACTTGATTGAAGTAATAGACTAACCACAAAAATCCCATGTCTACCTTCACTCTCTGAAACCAACTTTTGCCCATCCTTACAGAGAATTTGGCTGGTGCTTATGATTTATGGAACATAAAATTTATTTAAATTATGCTCAGGCTGGTCACTTGATGCTCCTCAGAAATACAGTTCTCAGTGTTTGCCAGAGAGTATGCCCCATAATGTTTACCATGTGGTGCAAGCATTTTGGCCTTTAAGGGTACACCAATGAGGTTGCTTGTCCTTGTTGCCCAGTCAAGGTAGATGCAGTGTCATTAAAGGGCACAAGGGTGGGGGCGACACCTATGGAATGAAGTATAATTTATGAAACATTATTGCCGAAGAGAAGATCTTCCCCTAAGAGCCAGCACCTTTCTTTTAACCAAACACAAATTAAAAATGCCACAAAGAACGACGGACGTTCTGTGCAGTTATTGACTGCTGCCATCTTGTGGAGTGCATGATATATAAGGTTACAAACATTAGATCTGCCTACCTAGTGTGTAGTTTCAAGCTCATTTAACACATTTGAACAGCTAAAGTCTTGGAATATTTTACTTAATTATGTGATCAAAGGAGTCTTTTCTAGTAATCGATGCTTCCCCCCCTCCAAATCTAGCTAGATCACATATAAAGGACACTTAGAATTTCCACTATGCTGGTCTCACTGAATATGGAGCAGAATTTTCTTCTCCCTCCTGTTCAAACAAAAAAGGTGTTTACAAAAGGTACATCAGAACTACAGAAGAAGCCTCAGGAGGTAAGCAAGGAAGTGGGAGAAAATACAAAGTAGCCTATACACTCCAAAAAGAAGGGTTTCTTGCTTTTCCATTCTCCTCCCCTCCTTTTTTTTAAATTAGAGGAACAGGTATAAAGCAGTTATAACTTATGATGCAGCAGAAATAGAATGTAATTAAGCCTCAAACTACCTAGCGTAACTTGATGCTGTTTTGGACACAACAGCTATTTGGCTGTTAGTGCTTAAAATATGAACAGTAGCAGGTGGATGAGGTGCACACTTGGGTAACGCTTCCAGAGGATTGTTGAAAAAAAGTTCTCTGAAGAAGAAAAAAAATTATGATGTGAATTTAAAACAAAAAAAAGCTCCCAGCATCACTTTTTATACAGTCTCTTTCCACTGTTTAAATATATTCAGAATTGGTTTCAGTGTTAATACAATATTGTATATATATATCACTAAATATAACACTAAAGCGTATATTGCAATGTTCAGTATAGCAGCATCAATAATGAATATAAAATCCTGCACTGGATTTTGCAGTGCATAATTTATAATGGGTTGGATCCATATTAATACTAAATTTATAGAACTCCATTTGAGCTTCATCATAGCTAATTTACACCCCACTAATTTCAGCTGATCTCTGTATGATTGACTCTATACTGAACTGTGTTTTGTCATCTACCACACACTTTCCCAACTGTTCTCCTCCAGATGCTTTTACAGCTTCCATAATCCACAGACAGCACTGGCCAGGAGCGATAGAGATTGCTATCCAATCTGTCCAGAGGGCAAAAGGTTGGGAAAATCTTGTACATAATCCATTCAAATGTAATTTTTGGTGCCCCTTAGAATTTCCAGTAGTCAAAAAATAGTGGTGGCATTTGTTAGCATAACTACTTCTGCTTGCCCAGGATTATACAGTTTTTCTGTGAACATTTCAATATCAGTCATAAAGGGAGAAACTCTAAAATGTAATTTAGAGAACAGGTAGGAAAAGGAATTGATGTCCCAACTCTTACTTTAGATTAGGGGTGTCCAACCTTTCACCTTCCCTGGGCCACATTAGAAGATGAAAATTTGGTTTGGGCCGCACATACATTTGGTTTGGGCTGCATGGGGGGGGCAGCCCTAGCCATCCTCCGCGGCCCCACTCCAAGTGCGCTTATCGGCAGCTGCGATCTCAGACAGCAGAGGCTGCCAGCTTCGACTCCGGCAGCTTTATGGGACCGGGAGAGGCTCCACCTATTGACGGGGACAGCACAATGCAGTCACGCAGCCTCCCTCTCCCCTCCCCTCCCACTCCTTCCTTCCCTCTCTCCCCCTCTACTGTTGTGACATGCCCTGGCCACATTCTGGCTGCAAGCGCCGGCAGTGTAACTTGAAACTTTGGAATTTCTTTAAAAATAAAAAATTGCACTGGGCCGCATTACGAGCTGACCTGGGCCGCATGCGGCCCTCAGGCCGCAGGTTGGACAAGCCTGCTTTAGATTATTTTATGTGCTTCAACTGGATCCTAGCTATAGAGGTGAGTACAGTACTACACCTCAATTAATGGTCAATGCACAGGGCCAAGCAAAACAACTAATAATTCCATTCCACCCATGGCTTTTAAAACATAAACTGTATAGTGAAAATAAAGAAAACTAAAAGGGGAATAACATACAGCTTTCCTGAATCTAAAAGGGGGGCTTCTCCTTCCACTTAATTCATTATGTTAAATACTAAACATGATTTTAAATTGTGAAGCATATGGTTTTGGGAGCTTTATGTTTGAGGGATATCATTTCTGACAAGCTGTGATCTGATAAATATATTGTCATTTGGTGGAAAATTCAGGCATAACACACAATGAGCATACAAGGGTGTGCGCGTGTGTGTGCATGCGCGCGCTAATTACTGATCGGTTTGAAACTAAAATAACTCATCTACATAGGTAAGTTACAGAAAACTAAGAGGAAAATGAATAGTGTTAAAGCAATCATGATGTAAAAATGAGTAAGTATTTACCTCTTCAGTGAAGTTGTAGAGAGAATAGGTCCAGAAAACTTGGTAGAAGAAAAAGTGCTACAAGCTGGATCTGTTACCAATGAGCTAGCTGAATTTGTTTCTGCCCTGCTAGCAATTCATTTCCATTCCAAAAATCAGAGAAGTAGTTTACAAAGATATATTTACAATACAATAGCTTATTTTCAAATTTTAATTGTTGTTTAATTTAATTGTTGTAAGCCGCCTTGGGTCCTTTTTAAGGAGAAAGGAGGGTTAAAAATATTTTAAATAAATACATACAATTACTATGCATTTACAGAGTATACGTGGGCTCAGAAGTATTAATTTCTTCCATTGATTGCCAATCTGCAAGGCTGAAAAACCAATTGGTCCACCAACGCAGAAGGATGGCTGCACCTTTTTCTTTTAGATCTGCCATTTATGGGAAATAGTAAAATACGCAGAAGGATGGCTGCACCTTTTTCTTTCAGATCCCCTGCCATTTATCGGAAATAGCAAAAGTTGGGTAGATGCAATGCAGCTCAGACCTTTGTGAACATTCTACACTTTGTGTCTTATCCAGAACAGGAGAAACTAACAATGATCAAATATCACTTTTCATTTTAAATCCATTTGAAAGCATGTTTGAAATACCAGAAAGTTTGGTAAAATGGACCACTCTGTAGTCCAACAGAGAAATAACATTTGCCTTTTGGCCAATGGAAGATGTATAACTATGACATATGCATTGGGGGTTTAGATTTCTCATATAAAAGAGCAAGGATATTCCAAACTTACATCACATCTACCTTGTCCTCATACTGTATTTGGTTATCCATGCAGAAAAATCCCCCGTCAATTAATGTTTCATACCAGAAGTACGCAATGTACTTAGGCAGTGAATGTTAGAGCAAAGGTGGTATTTCACTCTTCACATGTGAATCATTACAATAAATTCCTTATGATCTTTAATACTTCTAATTTGCAGCACTATATGTTTGACACACGAATTTCCATTATGAAGTTAGGTGCCAGTGAACTTCAATTGCAGGAACAAGAACAAAAAAAGCAGACCTTTGAGCTGGTGACAGTGGCGTTGGCTGTTCTGACACATCAGATATTTGAATTTCACAAGTCTGGGTGGCTACTGAATGTAGATGATCCAGCTCTAACCCGTTAGTCAAATCTGCAGAGATGCTTTGCATACAGTGATAACAGAGAACACAGAGAGTTCACACTACCAGACACTTATTTGACAGCTAGATAACATTTAGGAGAACATTGACATGGGACACAAAATTGCTAGCCTAAGACCTCTAGCAAATATCGATCTGAAAGTATCAACATTTGAATAATAGCTACCAGAATTACAATATTTCTAAAGGCTCTAGCTACTGGCGGAAAGATAAATTCTGAACCACACAATGAACTAGTACATATCAATGCATATTAATTTTGATTAGCATATTTTGGCATTCAAGAGGTTTGAAAGCATCATTAATAAGGATGAAGCTACTGTAAAGTAAGAAAAGAAATATTTATGCCTAGTTAAATGATTTTTATTAATGTTTTCTAATCTACAGCCCTAGATAATTTTTCTCCCATTAGTGCAGAAGCCCTCTGCTAGCATATTTACAGACTGCACAATTCACACTATTTCCTTACATAAAAATTACATTAACTGGTGGCGAGATTTAAAATTATTTACAGACTGCACAATTCACACTATTTTCTTACATAAAAATTACATTAACTGGTGGTGAGATTAAAAATTTCTGCACTTACCCTCCCCCCCCCAAAAAAGATGTTATACACTTAGCCTGTTCCTACTATTAAAATAAATTGGAAGGGGAATGTCATACTCTACATAAGACTCATTTTCATGGTTGGTATGTGCTTCTTTTCTGGTTGTTGGAGAAGAATTCTGGATAAACCGCATGCTATTTACACCAATGTTTTTATTTATGTTAATTTTTTTAAACTTTATGGAGTCTATTACCCTCATGTATTCCAGGCACCCGCAGCATACCCATTGGTACAGTTGTTTGACTGGGACTTTGAACTTCCTTGGTGACCTTGGAATAGTCTTTCCCTCTCTCTTCAACTCACCTGCTTCACATGGTAGTTGTGGTAATAAACCATGAAGAAGGAGAGCCATGGAAGAAAGATGGAGCATAGATGTGAGTAACCAGGCCCACAAAAAAGAAACCCTATGCCTTCCTCAATAGATTCCAGAAATCTCCTGTTTGTGACCATAACAATGTGGAAATATCCTGAGCTTTCACAACATCTATCCTGAGTGAAATTATCACTGGACTCAATAAATAAAAGGAAGGAACATATAAGAAAAGGAGACTGAAAAGAGTGGGAACTGAGACAAAGAGTCTGCAGGGGGAAATAGGTGAATGACTGAGAGATGAGGTATAGATAGATTTATGATAGAGGAGAACAAAGGGGAGCAACATTAACTGCAAAATGCCATGTTTGGAATATAACGGATCTGTGCAGAAACAGGAGACAAAATCCTGAACTAGCTGAATATTTGTAAGTCAAAGATGCAGTTAATGGATAACGGCCAAGAGTAAAATAGAATCTGGTAGCTATTAAGAACTTCCAACTCTTCTAACAGAAGGGGATAGGAATCCAGGTAAGAGGAATGCTTATTGTGCCAGGAAAAAGTTTTTCTTGGACTACACAAAAGTGATGACAAAAATTATGAGCTTAGAGGCAGCCAAGCGGCTTTCCATACTTCCAGATCTGTCATAATATTGACACACAAACATTGGGGAAGGTTTAGTTGTATCGTACACTACTAAATGCCACACAGATCCTCATGCGTTCAGAACCAACAGCAATGCAGAATAAGGCCACGGTCACACTAGGGAAATGCCCCCTTCTTTCTCATATCTTCTGCTTCCTGTACAGTTGTGTGTTGTGCTCATGTGGATAGTGGTTCGTGATTTTTAACTGCTCATCTTTTTGGGGGATGAATTAGATGGGGTATGTTAATCTATACCCCTTGAAGGGGACATATTCCTTTTCTTTTATTTTCTTGTGCTTTTCTCTGTCCCTTCCCTCCCTTTTTCTGTACAGTTGTGTGTTGTGCTCATGTGGAGAGTGGTTCGTGTTTTTTAACTGCTCATCTTTTTTGGGGATGAATGAGATGGGGTATGTTTATCTATACCCCTTGAGGGGGACATATTCCTTTTCTTTTCTTGTGCTTTTCTCTGCCCCCCCCTTTTTTTAAGTGTGTGGGTACATCACTGTGTTGGCAAAACACTCTTGCTGGCTATATGCTGATCTGGGCCATTTCTTCCTATTTCTGTCCTTCATTGCCCTCCATGAAGGAGAACCCACAGCAGTGGCAGTCAAAAGACAGTAGGGGAACTGATGCTCCGTATTTCACAGAAGTATACCAACATGCCAACATTCGTGTCTGAGAATTAATTTCTAAAAATTAAGGGAGTTGAACAACAGCGAGAGGTGGGACTGCACGCCAGATTCATAGGAAATGAATTCATCAGACCAAAGAAATGAAACACTCAATGGGATGTCAATTTTACTATGTGGCGAAATGCGGAACAAATATAGTAGTATCCTCCCAGTGGACTGGATTTGATGTAGAGATAGCACGGAGGGGGAACAAACAAATTGATAATGGTCTTGCATTGTCTGAACTGAAAAAAGGGCAGAAATTCATGAGGAGCAATTCAGAAACATTTTGCTGGTATGACTACAGCCGAAGTTTGATATTATGGGTTACAGGCCGAAGAAAGCAGCTCAGAAATGGGGCTACAGTAAGGTCTGTAGATAGAGAAAGACAAAAGAGGTAGTTTGTTGGCAGATAATGGTGTGGACATCATAAGCAGCCTGCATTGAAAAAGCATCTCTCTTGATTGCCACAGTGATTCTCTTATAATAATAATTAGATGGTGTTAAGTTGATTCCGACTTACAATGATCCTTTCTGGGATTTTCTACTTATACTCATTTTTACCATTTCTTTCTTCTGGGGGTGCTCAAGAACTGCGGATTTTGCCTAATGCTAATTCCTAATTATTCCCATTGGGAGGCACAAAAACTCTCAACTTTTGGCTCTATAGCCAGAAGCCTAACACAATTAGCCAGCTAGCCAGCTTTTCTATGGTAGTTAGGAAACAGAACAAGTGATCCTAAGAGCAATTTGAACTGTATACTCCTGACCAAACTGAGAGAAAAACAGTATGTGCTATGGCAAAGCACAGAGAAAAAAAAGGCATGAAGGGCTGTAAGAAACTTATAATGAGTCAGATTACCATTAAATCTTTGAGATCTAGAGGGGAGTAAAAGGGTAATTAACACAGGAACTGTTAGAGAAAAGACAGGAACCTTCTAGGAATTCTAATTTCAAGTAAACACGTGAAAACGTACATTATGCACGCTCTGCCACCTCCAATGGCTTATCTGTCACAAGGAGTCCCAAAGGAGAAAAGAAGTGGTGATGCAATGGCATCAAGGCTAGCTCCTGCTCATGTGTTTACTGGCTTCTGAACCAGACCACCTGAATAGGTCAAGAGTTCCAATTTTAGAAAATAAAAGTGATATTCTCTTTCATAGGTGTCAATAATCGAAACAGGGCCTGTAAAACCAATTTGAGTTTTACACTCCTCACCAAGACAAAAAAATGACCACCGGACAGCTAATCACAACTTGAGATTCACTGCCAACATTTTCCTTATAAATGTCCTACAGTACTGAGTTATTATTGTCAGACACTAATGCACGTTTTAATAAACTTTCCCAAGTATTTATAGTGGCATGTGGCAAACTGATGATGATTCATTCTGACCCTCTCTAACATAAATTATATTCTTGTGTGACACAATTCCATTTATACTGAGCAAGGTGGAATTTTAACTCAAGAAGACAACAAAGCCCTATGGTTGTTACATGGTTTCCATTGTCTATCCACCACAACACAAGGAAAGCTAGTTATGTACTGCATCGAAACTGAAGAATTTCTTGTCATCCAAACACTACATGCAAAGTTACAAAATAAATCACAATAGGAACATTAATATGAATATACTGTAGCGTATTATAAAGGAACTATGCATTTGTTTAAAAAATCTTGCTTGTCTTAGAAGCAAAACTGAGGGGGGAAACACCCATTTAACAGTGTACATAAAGAAATATAATTTATTAAATATTTCTGAGATATTAGGGTTTGTTATGAGGGTAAAAAATCTTGCTTGTCTTAGAAGCAAAACTAGCGGGGAAAACACCCATTTTACAGACAGTGTACATAAATGAAATATAATTTCTTAAATATTTCTGAGTTATTGGGGTTTGTTATAAGGGTGTGTGTGTATTTTTGGTCTGGTCTCTGAGTGTTCTTTGTGAATTTCGTTGTATGTGTATACAGTGGATATAAGTTCAACAACAATAAATTGAATTGAATTGAGATCATCTTTGAGCCTAATTCAAGTAAAAGGCAAAATATTTGTATTATAATACAAATAGGAGTTAGGTACTAAGATCCTAGGGTGAAAGCAACCACAGTCTAAATCCAGTTATAATACTAGCAGAGTGAAAATCTCTGCTAGTGCAGCTGTGTTGGGCTGCACCATTCCATAAGCCATTGTGCAAAGCTTGTAGCACTTAGGAATTACAAAGAAGTTATAAAACGCCTTGCACAGTTGGCTGCAAAACTGTTAATACAACAGATTGTGATGTAGTCCATTATTTTAACTGGATACAGGTACAGTCCATCCCACAGTGAATTCTATTCATCAGACCAAAGAGTCTTCAATGGGAAGAATTACTCTTGGGGACTATACACATTGTGGTCATGCAACCAATTGATTCTGTAGGCCCGAACATTTCAAAGTAGCTTCCGACATTTGGTAAAATTGGAGGATTCCTAATACTATCCTTAAACTTTAGCACTGACAACTGTTGCAGTTTCTGTATCAGATTATGAGTGGGAAAGTGGAGGCAGCATTTCAAGTATTAAAGAAAGGGATGTGTTCCACTTCATTTCTCTGAAATTCTCAAACAATGTTAGTACATGCTTTAGAAAAATAGCAGCAGTCATTTGTACAGAGCGTTCAAGTGCTCAAGACATGTATCGTTTTGTAAGTCACAACTCTTACAAAAAAAGTCCAGAAGAGTTGTTATTATCATCTGTCATAATACTGCAAATATAGATGTGGAAAAAGGAGCTGAGGTTGAGAGAGGAACACTGGTTGCCTAATGTCATTGAGTCAGTTTATGGCACAGATGAGATTCACAAAGCAGGAATGTTCTGATTCATAGCTTACTCTCCTTCACAACTATAGGGCATTATCGTGATTCTGAACCTAGTCGGGTGTTGCAGAAAACTAATTTAAAAATAAGTCCGTGATTAGAATGCTACAAATGAAAGCATCATATATAATTTACAGCAAAGAGGACAAGCCATTAAAAAACACTTAAACAACAGCATCTGCAAAAAAAAGGGGGGGGGGTTTATATATTCCACAATTTGGAAAGTACTGTATTTTGTTTTCTGATCAAAACCTCCAAGAGTTTAATTTAAGGGACATACTGAAAATTCGCAATAGCATTTTTAACATCCAGCGTTCAGACCATATAGTAGCACCTACATGCATTAAACAGAAATGTGATGATTTAGTATTGCACGTGACCATGTAAGATAATTATTTCTTATGAAATAAGAATTATTTGACCAAATCTAAGGATGAGCTCCTGGCCACAAAAGGAGGGGTTGTGATGGTGAAAAACTATAATAGAAAATAACTGAAATACAGATTTTAAGAATGTATTACAGGCAGGTGTTTTAATTCTACCAAATAAGAAGGCACAATTACAACTTAGTAGTTTTGTTTATCATATTGTTTTAATTTTTCTGCACGCGTGGCTGTTAAATGTCAAACTAGTGAATAGTTACCTCTGATCTTCATTTTCTGTTTCACCTTCCCTAGAATAAGTCAATAAACAGTGAACTGCAAATACTGTAGGAAAGGACCATATGTACATATCTAAAGAACTTCTATTCCCATGGAATTATTTCTACTGAAGACTCAAATGTGGAACCGCTGAAGCCAATGTTTGTGTAAGTACAAATATAAATATTTTTTCCTGAAATAACGTTCCTGCAAGAGGGATCATTCTGTTTAAAAACTGAACACTATTTACTATAAGAAGAAAATGCAGGCCCATCTGAATAGAATTTGCCCCAAGAGGCAGACTTTATTATAGCAGAGCAATACGTATGCTTTCTTCAGTAATAGCATCAATGCTGTTGAATTGATGGAAAATTTCTGTTGACAGATTCCAAAAGATCTCAAATAAAAGTGCACATGGGGTGGAAATAAGTTAAAGGCAACATTTATTAAGTATTCTTCAAGCTTCACAAAAGCAGAAATTAAATGAATAGGTATTTGCTATAATACATTATATTACAGATTAATATGTGCCAAAATCTAAAAAAAGTCAAAAAATAAACTTATGCTCACTTATTCATACTATTTTCATTTCTTGTGCTGTGTTGCACTACGATATTATTATTTCCCCTTAGGTTTGTGGCCAGGGAGAATTCAGAAACATTCTCTAGCTTGTAACATTCCTCTCCCATAGAGCAGAGTTGCTATGCTAATATTGTTAAAATTCTTTAAGTCGAACAGCAACAACAACAAAAATCCCCGTCCTCTTTTACTAGTGTGAGAACATTTACATCCTGCTCTAAATGGTATCAACTACTGAACTCATACAGTGCTATATAGAAAACCAGAAAATAACTATTTTACAGAATTCAAACAAAGCTGTATAGCAAGAATGCCTTACTGCTCCTGTTTTTCAGGTTATGCTTTTTTTTTGAAACCTATTCTTCATCTGTACTCTGTTGCAATGGTTATATATTCAAGTTATGCAGCAAAGGCTCAACCTCCTAACCAGAAGAGGCAAGCTAATTATCCTCATGCTATTACACATATGTTTCCATGCCATTTGTATACTGATTGTCTATTCTGGTTTTAAAATAAAACATGTTCATCTCATTCTTTATACATAGGTAGGAAATTGTTAGAAAAAAAAAGTATAGAAAAGGACAGAATTTCTTGGGTAGTTAAAGCTATTTTTCTCATTTCTTTCTTTGCAAAGCATCTGGAAGAAAAAGAGGGAGAAGAAAAGGACACGTGTTTTGTTTTGTTTCTAGAACTTGGCTGGTCACTGGACGTTAAGGACACGTGCTGAGACGCCATGGTGCCAGTCACGTAATTTTGTATATCTGGGGCCTATGACGTGGAGGGGAACCTTTTCCCTGCAGAGAGAAGTGACAGAAGAGATAGATGAAAGGAAAGAAGAGTCTTGTATCTCAACCCTGATTCATGCAGGAACCAAACCATGCAGATTTGCATGCATTACTGGCAATCCAATTGTCTTTCATTAAAGTTAAAGGACTTTAACAGAAAGCAAATTTCTAACATGCCTATAAAGAAACACTAGAGAGCAGATGTCAAAATGCACTGCAGTATCAGGAGCCATAACAAAGGGAGAATTCAGGAGCTGTACAAGGGTAGAGGTCTCTATTATTCTTCCCTCTTCCACAACGAGGTAAATCACACTTACGCAAGATAAATTATGCATTTTTCCAACTACATAAATTTATAGTAGCTGTATAATTTAATATTCCTCCATGCTGAATAAGGTTTTATTTCTACCCAAGGACAAAAACGCTAAGCTCATTTTGCTATGTAAAACACTATTTGGAAGTATTACTACCAAAAGATTTGTCTGCAACAACAGCATAAACTGCAAGGGTAGCACTTACAACATACTATCCCTCATTCACAGTCAATATTAGAGCTACAGCACTGATCTCAAACACTCAACTTCATACCATGTCCTACAGAACGACTGCTGTTTTATAAACTAGTGACACACAGATATACCACATCCAATTCAGAACTGATCTATTAAATGCAAAGAGTATTTATTGGATATGAACCATTAATCCTGGTTTGTTTTAACCTGATTTGCTTTTAAAAAAACAGAGAGCAATTCTGAGTAAGTGTAGCCTTTTATAACTCAGAATGTTCCCATCTGGTAAGCTAACAAAGTGTAAAAGACTCCCATCTCATCCTTCCTTACTGCAATTAAGACCAGGATATATATCTGCATGCCACCATGATGTGTGTACAGCAATTTTGATGCAACTGAAACCACTCAGACAAATGTTTTTGAGTTCTATCCTTCATCTTCCAAGTTGTATGCTAAATGTACATGTGCTAGCTTATACAGAACAAAACCATGACTTATTTTCTATAATTTGAACAGAATGGCGATCCATCTCACCAGACCGGGGAAGTCTCTGTCCAGATGGTCTAGGTACCCACTGTTCAGGCTACTGTCCAAGTGCTACAGTTTCCCTCTTTCTAGGCTTCTATCTCTACATAAGATTTGAACTAGACTGCCATTCAAATGGAGGCCATCTTCAGTAAGAGGGCTGTCCTTTAGAACAGTGGTCTCCAACCTTGGGCCTCCAGATGTTCTTGGACTTCAACTCCCAGGGTAGGAGAGGTGGTGGTGAAGGCTTCTGGGAGTTATAGTCCAGGAACATCTGGAGGCCCAGGGTTGGGGACCACTGCTCTAGAAGCCTTCAAACATAGGACTGCCCTCCATTTAAGAGAAAATGTGACCATCTGAGGTAAGGCACATCTCAATACTAAGCCAGCATTCCAGCTGTTACTGGTGAATGCCTGTAGAGAAGAGTTCAACATCCAGGACACAAAACATGCAGCTTACAGAAAAGGCTTTAGCATTCCTTCATACATGCACAATTGTGGTAGAACTTTGGGACATTAAGGAGTAATAGCCTACCCCTCTGCTAATGTGGTGTGCTTTTCAAAGCAAGCATTGGATAGCACTTCTTGCTTAACATACTCAGGATCCCTCTTTAAAATATATCCAAAGTCATAATACCTAGCAGATCACCTTGACAATGTGACCTCATGTAATAAGTATTTTTAAAAACCCAAAACAGTAGTGAAGGCACAGGACATTTTCTCTAAATATCTGGTTAGGATTACCAGTATTCAGGAAGATGATATTATGTATTTCAGTATAAATCTTATTGTTGCTATCTGCCCAAATCCTTATTTTTGTATGGAAAATTTTTCTAAAATTGCTCAGCTTTATAGAAAAATAATGAAAAGGGCAGTTATTAAGAGCTTCCTTACTGTCTACAACAACATGAAAATAAAGGAACCAATGCTTTAAAGGACAACCAACTTTGCACATACACATGCACGCAAGCAGGTATTTTTCTCACCATCAATTAAAAATAAACCATGTGACACATCAAAATAAAGATTATTAACTTACTTTGTCTTCTTTGTATTATCAGGTTCAGGCTCTTTCACTGCAAAAGAAAATTGAACCACAAATTTACTCACCATGAAAATGCTGCAAAGAGGGTTTTTTTTAGCATTTATTTCCCCAGTATCTTCCAGAACCATGATGTTTAATTCCTTTATGAATGACATTGAGTGCATTCAGAGCTCACAATAAACCAGAATTCTAGAAGAATTCTAGCTTACTGTACTAGAGGCAAGTTTGATTCTTCCTGCAAGGAAGAGTGGCTAAACAAACCACACTTTCTGTTCACAGTTTGTTTCACATAGCATTCAAACCACACAAATGATGGCTTATCTTTGTCCCCAATCTGGAATAAAGGAGGTAATACACAGATAACTAGGGATAAAATTTTTATTAAATGCTAACTTTTAAACTACCCCAATGCCTTCAAGCAAGGCCTCCTGTAACGAGGATCCTAGGCCAGGAGCAGGGATTCCATCCACCTCTCCAGACCTTACAAGGTCAGCCCCCAATCCCCTGAGGCATCTTACTTACGGACAGCTTGCTGCCAGCCATCATGGCATTGTGAATCTCCGAGATGCCATCCCCTGCACAAGACTCTAGTTTTGTCCTCCTCTATCCTCAAACCCAACTCCAGGAAAGCAGGAGCTGTGTGGTGTTGCACTGCTGGATGCTGCTGCACACCTCTGTGCCACCCAGCAGCTCACAATTCCTCAGACTCCTTCTTCACATGACCCAACTGGGTGCCCCCATTTATAACTGACCTACACTCTGATCTGGACAGAATGCCTGTGGGCAATCACTGCAACATAGGCAAAACATTCCTGCCCGTTTTTTGTTTAATATGCCAATCAGACAATAAAATAGGCTAAAAATTCTTATCTGGCCCGGAAGCTAATTTTGCACTGAAACCACAGGGTGGGCCAAGCACCAGCAGAAAAGAGACGAGGATATAGTAGGAAAACCTTCATAAAAATCCTCCTTAAACCACAATCCCAGTGAGCATAGGGACACCTCAAGTGTCCCCATGCATGCATGGGGTCCCCATTCACACCCTCTTACCTACTCCATGAGGGAGGCAAATAACACTTGTTCTTGCAACACACAGGAGCAGTGGAGGTTCACATTCTCCCAGCAAGCCAATCATATACTAAATGGCTTGTTCAGCCAGTTTTAGTTCCAGGAAGAATAAATGGGCAGTGTAAACATTAATTACCAATATCTAGTTTACACTTAAATCACAAAAATTGTCTGGGGCACCTGTAGGCTACCAAATTTGATTTGGTATGAGCTTTTATGAATTGTAGCCCACTTGTTCACATGTATAATGCAAGCGGGCTACAGACACAACAGGGCACGTGAGCAGATGTAAGTGGTCTACAGTGCATGAAAGCTTAGACTCTAGTGCATGAAAGCTTAGGCCAAACAAAACTTGTAAGTTTGCAATATGTCACAAGACTCTGGGTTTTTTGTTTTGTTTGTTTTTGTAGAACAGGTTACAGACTAGCCTGACCACCCAACTAAATCACAAATGTCATATGATGCTTCATTTTAAAAGTATTCTGTGAAGTTCATGACAAAGCTTTCCTTGACATTCCAAGTTTTACCCACTCTTATTATAAGCAGAGAGCTTCCTAAAGTCTAGTCTATAGACTGTTATTTATAGTCCTGACTCAAAACAAACAAAACAGTATTTGGGAAATGTGACAGAAAACAAAGCACAATTTCCAAAAATACTGAAGCATATACTGACATAGTATCTGTTGTGAGTTTTAAACTCCTATGGTAAGTCTTATTTCGCAAAATACAAAGCCAGGAAACATTTGTCAGACCAGCCTTCCCCCCCCTCCACCCCCCATTTTTATGTTTGATTTGTTCTAATAAACATACTACGAGTGTTCAAAAATATGATTATACCTAAAGATTGGAGTTTTTCATTGCCATATGTATACATATATACATATACATATAGGTGTGTGTGTGTGTGTACACACACACTACACACACACACACACACACACACCCTGCACAAGTATTCTGGGTGCCTTGCAAAAATATTTGCATTTTTGTTTATTGTGACTATTTTGACTGGTAAGGATTTTATTCGCTATTTTTCAAAGGACAGTATGTAAGATATTTTAAATAAGGAAATATTTAAGCATTAAAGACTTTGCAAGTTAAGGTTAAAAAACTAGGGCAAAAGCAAACCATACAGGGACATGAAATCAATTGTCTTGTTAATCAGGAATCCAAGAGCGACCCCAATGAACATTTTTATTCTCTCCACTGAACCTTTTCAAGTGCTCTCACACTTCCACAAGAGGTTTGCTTTTAGCACATGGCAGGCTGATTACAGCGGCAAAGTCAAAAATCCTACTGGGCTCACAGTTCACATGTATTTTCTACCCACTGTGACCATTACCTGTTTTAGTTTCCGCAGCACATACCAGTATCAAACTTTATACTACACTGAAATTAACCAGATGTACAGAAAACCTTCTGAACCACCAGCTTTATATTTGGGTGCATGTTCTGTTTTAGTGATAACTCTCTTTTCATTCTTGGTGAAAAATAACAATGGGCTAATGAAACAGCAGTCAAAGTCGGAGGAAACAGGTACAAGCATTCATAAAGTCTCAGCAGTGAAAGTATATCTTTTTGTACATCTTCCATTAACACTACCTGCAAACATTCCAAGTTCAAAAACAAAAGCACTATGGAAGAAAAACCCTGTCTTACATATTTTACACTCTTTTTTTTTTGCAAAAAGGGGGAAATAGATGTATGCATAAATACAATTTTACACACATTGATTTTTATTTTTGTTTTGTTTTTTTTGCTGTAAGATCAAATGATACTCACTGTGTTCGGTGCCAGTGATCTGGGCAAGGATGCGGAAAGAACGTGACTGGGTGGTCCCTGACCCTTTCCCCCTGCCCCAGGCACCTCCCTACCTCGTCCTGCTGCCTCGTCCTCCACCACCGCCATCTTTATAGACTGTGGCCCCTTCCAGGAAAGAAGGTGGCTGTCTAGGCAAGTGCAGACACAGAGACAGCTTGCCTAGCTCCCAGAAGGGAAGCTAGGCTGCTGTCTCCAAAGATGGCGGAGAACAAAGAGGAGGAAGAGGTTACGACCAGGTGGGGAGGCAATGGGGGCAGCAGGAAAGGGGAAGGGGCATTCATTTTGTTTGTTTTTCCAGGGTTCAGGGGTGGTCTTCGGTAGGCATGAACCACAACACACCTTGATTCATCATATTTCCGGTTTGTACCCATCTCTATTTAGAACCCACACAAGAGTTTTCTACCACAACGACACATTCATGGACTAGCATCTTTGGCTCGATTGAGACACTAATCTCTTAACGAGACATCACAAACCTATACATCTCTACAGCCTTTAGATGTAAAGAAAAATGGTCCACTTTCCCCTCTTGAAAATTATTTATGATTACTGCTTACTTCTCTATTATGCTTACATTAAAAGTGGTTGTACAAAAGGCACCGGTAAAACACTTGTATCACATCTAGTTCATTGCACTCTAAAGCCTCATTTAAATGTGTTCTTAATAAACAAACAAACAATCCTAGGCACCAGTGCCTAAATACAGGATCAGTGTCTGTATTCCAGGTCATGCCTTGTTTAATGCTAACAGTGCTTGCAAAGGAAGGCTGCAGTCCTAGGAAGGTGTGAACATATGGTTTGCACAACAAGGACAGCTAACTGTAGGCACACCAGCTGTGCAACTGATTTTATATATTTTTATACTGTTTTGTTTTATTTTGTAAGCCGCCCCGAGTAGACATGGTCTAGAGGGGCGGGGTAAAAATCAAATAAATAAATAAATAAATAAATAACTGACGAGGTCCCAGGGAGCACACCAGCTGTGCAACTTGATGAATAGCTGGGTATGTAACCAAAATGTGCCCTGAACCTCATCAAGCAGCTGCAATTAAGTCACAGCAAGTTACAGGAACCTTATGTAGACCCCAAAAGGTTTCTGGCTACTGCATTTTTCAATACTTTCCAAAACAAACATCAGCAGCAATAGCAACAAAGCATGTTAAACAGGTAATCAATAACGTGGAACTTTACATAAATAAACTCTTTACCTTCACTTGCATGTTATAAACTGACTCATATGGATTCACTGCCATTCATATGAAATACTGATGCAAGGGCACCTCCTTTCTCTTTACCATCTCTTTGGAACATCTTCCACACATGGTGGAATCATGTTTTCATAACAGATACATGGTATCATGAGCTAAAAGTGACTGCTGCCTGCTTTAGCAGGTGGGGGAACACTCCCCCACCATAGGAGGAGGCCAGTAGAGGCAGAAAGGGAACATCTATTCATAACAAAGAAAGAGGACCGGGAAGGCTTGTGGCACCTTAACAACAACATAATTATTCTACTACAGTACAAGCTTCCACAGATTACCATGGTAAAATAAATGTATTACTCTTAAGGGTGCCACAACTTTTCCTTCTTTCCTCTTCCATCACATTGAAACAGTCTAACAAGGCTTCCTCCTTTGCATATGCAGAAGAGATGCAGGAAAGTTTAAAATATATGTATCACAAAACCTATTTCTGAATCACTTGCTCCTGAACATATACATTCTATGAGGCCTGCACTGATAAATTACATACAGGCATTTTTTAACAATTACCGTTTAGGTGGATTTTTCCTTTGATGTATTTGAAAAGGGATGACAGCAGAGTAAAAAGGATCCAGAGTAACCAGTAGGAGAAAGAGAAGGAAGGAAGGAAGGAAGGAAGGAAGGGAAGAAAGAAGTAACAATGAGAATTTGAAAAAACACTACTAAGTCATTAATTAGTACATATCACTTTTGTTTCATGGATTTCTAAACCAGTCTCCAAAATCTTTATTCCTTTATGGTGGGAAAAAGAACAACATTGATCAACAATAGCCAGAATCTTATTAGTGTTTGTGTAAGGTTTGCATAACTTGCCATGACTAATTGATGAGGTGCTGGGGTGTATCTCAATTCCATAAATGGACACAACCGAAGCATGCTCCAGTACCTCATCAATTAGCCACTGAAAAATTACACAAACCTTACATTAACATCAATAAGATCCTGACCAAAAAACCCAAAATCCAACCCAGCTTCACCTGCTTACAGCCCCTAATTTACTCTTATACAGACACTGAATCCAATTAATGAAGAATTCTTAGAAGGCTTTGCCAATGTCCCTGAAAAGAAGCCACATTACTTCCATTACACTGGGTCTTTGAGGTATTTTGCTCACTTTTGCCTATACATTCCAGACCATGAATGTGAGAAGTACTTGTGCCAATTGCCTTTAATAAGGAATAGTTACATTTAGGATTCTGTCATAAATCCTAGTCAGGTGTAGACAGGCATGACTATCTATAATAGTTTTAACATTTGGAAGAGAACCTGAATGTCAATCTAGTCCATGTCCAGAACTAACACTGGATGCAAGCATAAAAGGGTTCGGTTTGAATACTTCTGATGCTAAAGGATTCTCTTAATGTTTAGTTAAAGCATTCCTTTTGCAAAATATATACTTTCTGATCAAAGACAGGAAGATCAGAAGTTGCCCTACACTGAGTCAGACCGTGGTCCCATCTTGCCCAACACTGTCAAAACTAACAGGCAGCAGCTCTCTAGTATAGCAGGCAAGATTTGTTCCTAGCCCAACCTGGAAAAAACAGGGCTTCATCTGTGGACCTTCTGAATGCAATGCATTAGTTACCTGCGGACTAAGCCCCTTCCCATCCTCGCTGATGGAAGCAATGCAGTCCACATTCATAAAACAAGAAGAGGAGAATAATTCCTTCACAATGGATGGTATATGCTCCTCACTGCTGAGATGCACCTGTGTGATTTTGCTCTTAAAAGATTGCTTTTTTTAAAAAAAGACTAAGAAGTGCATACTGTTTTGAGGAAACCCAGCAGCCAGTTGACAAAAGACAGAGAAGGAACACAGCCTTATTTTACTTCTGGTTATGAAGCGACAGTTGCTTAGATATTAAGAGGCAGATTGTATTAGTCAAATACTTACACCTCATCAGAGTTACTGAAGGAGGGACAGAACAAAGACAGACAATAGAGAAGATTCCAGGCGATGGAGCACAGAGATGAAATCACATAGGAGTGAGGCAAGAAAAAAGTTAATAGAAAATTAATATGGAAATTAAAGCTGTGAAGAAAAGGAATAAATCTAATCAACTAAGATTTAATAGCATGCTTATTCAATCATTTACAATCTTATTAGTTAAAAGCTAACCAACCTTATCACTGGCAAGTGTACAATACAGTATTTCTTGTTGGCTCTTTCTAACAGTTACCAAGACTGGCAGCAAGATGGTGCCATAGGCAAAGATAAAGTTACAATACACCTCTTTCTGGAAGTCAATTTACACACTAAAGCTTTTAACTCACTCAGGCCAGAAGGAGGGGTCATTTGGACAAAACCAGGTGTTAAAGTGATCTTTGGTCTCAGATTTAATTGAAGCCTGTTTAACATTTCAATATATTTAGCAACGTTCAGCTGTCTCAACTACAACCTTTTAAAACATTTTAATGTCTAAATCATAACGATTAGACATTAAAACAAAAGAACTAATCATTGGTATATTGTCTTTTCTGTTTGCTCCCCGAGTAAGCCACACATATGTGAAATAAAGATTAATACTACAAAAAAGGCAAATCGTACGCAACATAAATTCAAGCTTACATTACTCTCTTTAAAATAAAAAAAGCCCAAGCTGTTTTGCGAAATCGCAATTCTGAGGCACACGCTACAGGTACACACACCAGTTATTCAAAAGCATTAAAACACCAGGTCAACCACATGCAGTTCATACTAACTTTGTTGTTGCTGGGGCCTGTGAAGGAAAAAAAGCATTTAACATGTTTACTGTATTAACATCCATGTTCCTCTACCATAACATGTCTCAGGGGCATCTCAGTTTAAACATCCTCACACATTCTGATCTGAAATATGCTAGTAACCTTAAAAGGAAATGGTTTGTCCCATGAGAAATGAAGTGAACAGCCTGATGCAAAAGAACAAACTTCATGCAGGCATTGACAAGACACTTAAAAAGCAAATGCTCTGTTACTCAGTCCATGCTTACATAGTCAAATACAATCCTTTCATGGATATTAACATTGACAGAAGGAAATATCTTGAAACCTCTCTTCCCTGCGCAAAGTGGCTATAATGGATGCTGAAGAAACAAACTGTCTCTTGCTTTCTTAAAATGAAAAAAATTATGACAAGGGGGCCAAGGTCTTAATCTTTACTGCACTTGCTGATTGCAGAAGGATACACTTGAAATAACTGCTTGCACCCCTGCAGCTAAGTATGGTTAAACATACTATTAATGAAGTTAACGGTGAAGTGCAAACCCTCCTTAATGCTACTGTTATGCATCTACATTTTTACAAACACTCAGGGGGACTTACTTACCTACAGACTTTAAATCATTGTGAAACTTGACTTCAAGGTATACATTACAGAGTGTCAGCAACATAAACATTTATGACACATTCATGAGCCATATGTAGCACAGTGATTAAGTGTCTACATTAGAAGTCTCCAGTTCAAATCTCAGTGCCATGATGACTTAGGAAACCCAATTAGGAAACCCACATGGCGATGGTAACAGTGGTCTACCTAAAAAGCTTATATAGAATTTACTTAATTCATCTGTGTTGAATAACTAGGTCCCACGGAAGTTGAATATATGTACTTGTAATCCTATGTGTATGTAGCTACTTCAAAGTTAAGTCCCACTGTATTCAGTGCAACTCACCTCATGGGCCCTGCATGTGTGTACAGTTTTCTAGCTTTAAACTTATATATGTTAGGGCTAAAGATTAATGTGCATTTCTTCCTTCCTTATAAACACTTCATAATTTTAAGATTTTGA